GTGCCTTGGTGTCCAATTTTTGGGAGGCAGCGACTCGCCAGCAGGGCGCCAAGAGTCCAAGAAAGCTCGGAGTGCAAGTCGCAGGCTTAAAGTGCTTCCCCTAAGCCCTAAACCCCAAACCCTAAACCCTAAACCCCCAACTTGATCTAAGGTGCTGTGGGTTTCTGGGCTTGCGAACGTCGCTCTGGGCAGGGTTCAGGGTTTTACGAGGCTGCTCAGGGCCCAAATTTTCGATGCGGGACCTGGAGTCCGAAGCAGGTTTAAGGTTTAATTTAGGGTTTAGGGTTTAGGGTTTAGGGTTTAGGGTTTAGCGTTTAGGGTTTAGGGTTTAGGGTTTAGGGTTTAGGGTTTAGGGTTTAGGGTTACAGGGTCTAAGAGGGTTTAGGGTTGTAGGGTTCCGAGGGTTCAGAGGCTTTAGAGAGTTTAGAGGGTTTGGAGGCTTCAAAGGGTTTGAAGGGTTCGGGAGTTCGGCCCGCTGAACCCTTGAGCTCCAAGCACCCCTTTGCTTCTATGAGCACGCAAGTTGCAACACAGGGCTCGTATCCATGATTTTTATGCTATTATATAGTAGGCTATATTCTGTATATATGTATACATATGTATAGACACACTGTATTCAAACAATATGTATATATATATATATGTGGCCGAGACCTTTAGGGTCTATTTCACGGCTGGTTCTTCTTTCAGTAGTAGTGCAATAATAATAATAATGTTAATATTACTATGAGTATAATAATACTGACCGTAATTGTAATAGGAATAATAATAGTACTAGGAATAGTAATAGGAATAGGAATAGTAATAATACTAGTAATAGTATTAGTAGTAGTAACAGTAATAGTGAAGGTTTGGTCTGTGTGTGCACCGGCGCCAGCAAGTGCAGCCATGTAGCTCTAGCACACTTTGAAGTAAGAGATAGACAAGTTGTTTCATAGCCTGAAGAGGGGCGAAGGGCTCTCTCATTTCCGATTACGAGGTAGAGGTGAGCTATCTCATTTCTTAGAAACATAGAGGAGATCTCATTTCCACGACAGAGACATCTTTCACTCAGGAGAGAACGCAAGCTGTTTCATTTCCAAGAGAATAGAGGAGCTCTATCATGTCGCATTAGAAGTGAGAAGCTCTGCACTAAAAGATAGAAGGCATCGATTCGTTTCCCTTTTTTTTTTTTTTTTCAAAGGGTCTTTTCAGTTCGAACACAGGATTTCTTTCATGCCCTATAAGAAGGATCGAGGAGCTCTTTCATCTGAGTGATAGAAGAACGCATTCATGAAGTATACACGAGCTCATTTCTCGTCAAGAGGCAGAGGCGTGCCCAGCTCTACCATTACCTAACTCTTACCTGAAATTTCTCTATCTCGCAATAGGTCATGAGAGACCTCCTTTTTCACGCTGCAGGAAATGAGAGAGTTCTCTTCTATGTCGATTTTCAGAAATAGCTTCGCAGCTTCTCTATCAATGAAGAGTTTTGAAGGCCACTCTGGGCCATTCTCTGTCCATCAAATGGGACATGACATAACGCATCACTCGCTATCGTTTACGTGATAGAGTTTCGCTATCTCTGAATAGGTCATCTGAAAGCTCCTCTGTATCTTTGCAGCAAGTGAAGGAGCTCCTTGCCTCTTCTGCAAGAGCCCTCCGCTTCCTATTTTGCAATGAGCAAGCTCTTTTATCTCCTCTGGTTCCTAATAGGTCATGAGCGGGCTTCCCTCTCTCCTTCTCTTTTAGGGGATAGAGGAGGTTTTTTCATGTTGCGTTAACAGCTAGAGGACACCATTTATATCCATTCTGTCATTTCGTATGAGAAGATACAGGAGCTCATTCATCTCCTAGTCAGAGATTGAAGAACTCGTTCACAAGAGATATAGATATAAGAAATCTCTCATACAATGTAGAAGAGCTCTCTCATGTCCTACCTAGTTCATTTGCCGTCACCAGCGCTCAGCTCTACCATTTCGTATCTTTTATATGACATAGCTTCTCTATCTCGCAATAGGTCATGAGAGACCTCCTCTTTCTTTTGCAGGAAATGAGAGAGGTCTCTATCTACCTTTTGTGAAAGAGCTCCCTTTGTTCAATCACAAGAACTCATTCATAGAAGCTGTAAGAGCTCTCGAATGTACTTTCTTGTTAATTTCCCGTCGATAGGTAGAGGAGCTCACAGCTCTACCACATCCTACCCTTTACATGGAAGAGGCTCCTCTATCTCGTAGCGGGTCAAGAAAGATTGTCTCTATCTCTTTGCAGAACATTAGAGAGTCCTCTACCTACCTCTGTGAAAGAGCTCCTTCACCTCAAAATCAAATGCCACAACTCGTCTATCTTTCACTGGGACATGAGACAGCTCCATTGTGAAATTTCTATTCAGAAATAGCTGCTTCTCTATCGATGAAGAAATCATGCGAGTAGCCGTTTATCGATGCATAAGAAATGACATAGCTCTTCTACCTTTTTGCGACAGATCTCTTCTTTACCCGAAATGAAAGTTTGGAAGGCCATTCTCTATCCCTTGAATGGGGACACAACTCATCAGTCTCTATCGTTTACGTGAGAGAGTTTCGCTATCTCTGAACAGGTCATCTGAAAGCTCCTTTGTGTCTGCGCAGCAAGTGAAGGAGCTGCTTGCCTCTTCTGCAATAGCTCCTCCGCTTCCTATTTTGCAATGAGCAACCTCTTCTATCTCCTTTGGTTCCTATTTCTCGTTTGCCATCACTAGGCAGAGGAGCTCTCAGCTCTACCATGACCTATCTTTTACACGAAAGAGGCTTCTCTATCTCGTAACGGTTCATGGAGTCATGACAGATCTTCTCTATCTCTTTGCAAGAAAAGAGAGAGTGCTCTACCTACCTCGTGTGAAAGAGCTCCTCCACCTTGTGATCGAGAGTGACAGAACTCGTCTATCTTTCAATGGTGCATGAGCCAGGTTTTGTATTTGAGAAAAGCTTGTCTACCCGTGATATAATAAGAAATGAATAGTTCTTCTACCTTTCTGTGACAGATCTCTCCTTTATTCGAAATGAAAGTCTGGAAGGCCATTCTCTATCCCTGAAATGGGGCATGACATAACTTTTCAATCTCTATCGTTTACGTGATCGAGTTTCGCTATCTCTGAATAGGTCATCTGAAAGCTCCTCTGTATCTTTGCAGCAAGTGAAGGAGCTCCTTGCCTCTTCTGCAAGAGCCCTCCGCTTCCTCTTTTGCAATGAGCAAGCTCTTTATCTCCTCTGTTTCCTAACAGGTCATGAGACAGCTCATTTCCACACTGTCATTTCGTATGCGAAGACACAGGAGCTCATTCATTTTCTATTCAGAGATTGAAGAACTCATTCATAAGAAATGTATGAGAGTTCTCTCATGTCCTATCTAACTGATTTCCCGTCACTAGGCAGAGGAGTCCTCAGCTCTACCATTTCTTATCTTTATATGACATAGCTTCTCTATCTCGCAATAATCAGGTCGTGAGGGACCTCCTCTTTCTTTTACAGAAAATGAGTGAGGTCTCTATCTACCCTTTGTGAAAGAGCTCCCTTTGTTCACTGGCAAGAACTCATTCATGAAAGCTATAAGAGTTCCCGTCGATAGGTAAAGGAGCTCAAAGCTCTTCTATATCTTACCCTTTACATGAAAGAGGCTCTCTATCTCGTAGCGGGTCATGAAAGATCGTCTCTATCTCTTTGCCGGACATGAGAGAGTCCTCTACCTACCTCTTGTGAAAGAGCTCCCCCACCTCGTAACGTACAAAGACAGAACTCGTCTATCTTTCAATGGGACATGATCCGTCTCTTTGGTTTTGGTTGAGAAAAGCTTCTCTATCCATGAAGCAAACATGAGAGAAGCCGATTGTCTCTAGGCTGCTTATCGCTTCGTAGGAAATGACATAGCTCTTTTACCTTTTTGCGAGAGATCAACCCTAATTGAAGGTTTCGAAGGCCTGTCCCTGAAATGGAGCGTCGCATAACTCATCAGTCTCTCTCGCTTACGTGAGACAGCATTTATTCTATTTCGTAACAGGTCATCTAAACGCTCTTCTATGCGTTTGTAGAAGTAAAAGAGCTCCTTGCCTCTTGTGCAAAAGCTCCTCCGCATCCTAAAGAGCAATGAGCAAGCTCTTCTATCTCCTCTCTCTTGAATAGGTCATGAGAGGGCTCCCCTCCCTCTGGTTGAGGGAATGACAGAGCTCCTCCGCCCCTTACGAAAGAGCCTTTCTCCTGCTTGAAAAGCTGCGGGCGGGTGCTCTGGCGCCTCGTAGGTTTGGGAGGGCTCCTTTTCACATCTTTATCTTTCCGACTCCGAGATATAGGAGCTCATTTTTTCGAAAGTGGTAGCAGAGATCTCTCATTTCCAAGAGATCTTTGTCACTCAGGGAGAAAGCAAGGTTTTGATTTCAAAGAAATGGAGGAGCTCTTTCATGTCCCATTAAGAGTGTGGAGCGCTCTCATTACGCATGAAAAGATTGATGACATGGATTCGTTACAATTCTTTAACTTTTCTCGAAGGGTCTTTTCTTTTCATATGCAGGATCTCTTTCATTTCCTATGAGAAGATAGAGGAGCTCTTTCATCTCAAAGATAGAAGAAGGCATTCATAAACGGTATAAGAGCTCTCCCATGAACTATATCTCATCGTAGGGGGCATAGGAGTCTTAGGGGGCTCAGGATTCGCGTGCAGGGTGTAGGGTTTATAGGGCTACGGGAATTTAATGGAGGGTGTATTTGTGAAGTCTGCCAATTACCGTAACAAACCCGTGACATAACCCAGAGCCATTACTTGCAAGACTGCTTCTTGAAAGCAAGAGCGCTAGTGTCTAACCATTGTACATTCCTACATGAGATACCCCACCACATCTTGAAAACACCTCTTTCTCCAAGGGTTTACTGGGGCATTAAGGAACAAGAACGTGATGGTTTCAGCACCAAAGTAAGGGAATAGCAAAGGGTTTCCAGGGAAAACTTCCCTGATGCAACCGGTCTCTATCTCACAAGAGGTCATGAGAGACCTCCTGTATCACATTGCAGGAATGAGAGAGTTCTCCACCATGTTTGTTTTCCGAAATAGCTTCTCTATCAATGAAGAGTTTTGAAGGTCGCCCTGGGCCATTCTCTGTCCGATAAATGAGACATGACATAACTCATTAGTCTCTATTAAGAGAGTCTCTATCACAACTATATGAAAAATCCTTCCTACATCTTGAAGGCGTCCCTTTCTTTAAGGGATGAATGGGGAAATTAAGGGAAATTAAAGGGTGATGGTTTCAGCACGAAAGTAAGGAAATAGAAAAGGGAACGCGATAAAGATGCACGAAGGCTTAAAGAGGCCCAGAAAATCAAGAAATTAACGAGGATGGTTAATTGCTTGAATTTCTCTAATTTCTCACAGAGAGGCTTAGCATTTAAAAAGCCAGAGAAATTAATTAATTTCATTACTTTCTTTAATTTCTTTTAGTTAGTCTCGCAACCCCACGCGGCTACCGGATGTTTTTTGTTAATTTCTTTAATTTCTCACAGAGAGGCCTAGAAAATAAAGAAATTACAAAAATTAATTACCCGGCTCACGGGATTAGTTTAAATAAAAGAAATTAATGAAATTGATCAAATTAAAGAAATTGATTAATGTATTTAGTTTCTTTGATTTCTCACAGATAGGCTCTGAAAGTAGAGAAACTACAGAAATTAATTTCATTAATTTCTCACAGAGAGGCCCAGAAATTAAAGAAATTAATGAAATTAATTAATTTCTTTAATTTCTTTAATTTCTTTAATTTCTCACATAGAGGCCCAGAAATTCGAGAAATTAAAGAAATTAATTAATTTCATTAATTTCTTTAATTTCTTTAATTTCTTTTAACTAGTCTCGCAAGCCCGAAGGGCTACCGGAATTTATTTCTTTAATTTCTTTAATTTCGCACAGAGAGGCCCATAAACTAAAGAAATTAAAGAAATTCAAGAAATTAATTGGGGGAGCCCCCCCGGCTCACGGGACTAATTTAAATAAATTAAAGAAATTAAAGAAATTAATGAAATTAATGAAATTAAAGAAATTAATTAATTTCTTTAATTTCTTTAATTTCGCACAGAGAGGCCCATAAACTAAAGAAATTAAAGAAATTAATTGGGGGAGCCCCCCCGGCTCACGGGACTAATTAAATAAATTAAAGAAATTAATGAAATTAATGAAATTAAAGAAATTAATTAATTTCTTTAATTTCTTTAATTTCGCACAGAGAGGCCCAAATTAAAGAAATTAATGAAATTAATTAATTTCTTTAATTTCTTTAATTTCTCACAGGAGAGGCCCAGAAATTAAAGAAATTAAAGAAATTAATTAATTTCATTAAGTTCTTTAATTTCTTTAATTTCTTTAATTTCATTAATTTCTTTTAATTAGTCTCGCAAGCCCGAAGGGCTACCGGAATTAATTTCTTTAATTTCTTTAATTTCTCACAGAGAGGCCCAGAAATTAAAGAAATTAAAGAAATTAATTGGGGTAGCCCCCCCGGCTCACGGGACTAATTAAAATAAATTAAAGAAATTAATGAAATTAATGAAATTAAAGAAATTAAAGAAATTAATTAATTTCATTAATTTCTTTAATTTCGCACAGAGAGGCCCAGAAATTAAAGAAATTAATGAAATTAATTAATTTCTTTAATTTCATTTATTTCCCTAAGAGAGCCCCAGAAATTAAAGAAATTAAAGAAATTAATAGGTAAATAAATTAAATTCCTCATACAAGTGATATACGTGAAATGGACCCAAAAGGTCCCTCTCACATAATATATATATATATATAATACATATATGTATATGTATATGTATATATATCGAAATCACAAACAAAGAAATAGATGTTGCTCCAAAGCCCCAGACCCATTGAATCCCATGTCCACCCACCCCCTGCGAAGGAGCCGAGTCCTTGGCGCAGGTGGGTTTGGGGTTTAGGGTTTAGGGTTTAGGGTTTAGGGTTTAGGGTGGTTAGGTTCAGGGCTGAGGGTCTGGGGCTAGGAGTTTTGTGCTGGCTGTTTGACGTTGCTTGGTTTGGGGTTCTAAGGGTTTCTTGAGAGTGTAGTGTGCTTTTGCAGTCAAAGGTTGAGATGTTCCTCCTCATGCTGGCAGTCCTTAGTTGGGATTGTACTAGGGGGTACTAGAACCCCTTTTAAGGACTGTCAGTATAAAGGGGAACATCCCAGGTCTGAATGGTCTTTTTTGTTGTTTTAAGTCTTTGTCCCAACAGTATTTCCCTTTTTTCGGTAAGGGACTATAAACATAGGTTTAAAGAACAGGTGCGTGAACCCCATCGACCCCAAAACCCCCAGAAACTATGAAAACCCTAAACCCGAGACTCTACACCCTGTAAACCCCCTAAGCCCCTCCTAACCCCCGTAAACCCTAAAGACTAAACCCTGAACCACCGGGACGCCAATCCCTCCACAAACAAGGCCCTAGAAATCTTAAACCCGACGCACCAAACCCTAAACCCCCCCCCCCCCCTTCCCCTCCCCCTCCCTCGAAACCCTGAAACCCTGAAACCCTGAAACCCTGAAACCCTGAAACCCTGAAACCCTGAAACCCTGAAACCCTGAAACCTGAAACCCTGAAACCCTGAAACCCTGAAACCCTGAAACGCTGAAACCCTGAAACCCTGAAACCCTGAAACCCTGAAACCCTGAAACCCTAGACCCTAAACCCTAAACCCCCCCCCCCCCTCCCCCTCCCCCACTCTGAAGCCCCAAGTGTAAAATCGAAGGCCCACTAATCCCTAAACCCGAAACTCCAAAACCAGACCCACACCCTAAACTCTAAACCCAAAAGCCCTGAATCCTGAACCCTGAACCCTGAACCCTAAACAAAACACTAAGCCCTAAACCCTAAACCCTAAACCCTAAACCCTAAACCCTAAACCCTAAACCCTAAACCCTAAACCCTAAACCCTAAACCCTAAACCCTAAACCCTAAACCCAGACCTATCCCTATGGACCCGAAACCTTAAGCCCTAAACCTGTGGAGGCTTTGGGGGTGAACCGCTCTTTGGTGCGCTTGGACTTAAGCAACAACCAGATCAAGACCCGAGGACTGCGGTTTAGGGTTTAGGGTTTAGGGTTTAGGGTTTAGGGTTTAGGGGTTAGGGGTTAGGGGTTAGGGGGTTTAGGGTTTAGGGTTTAGGGTTTAGGGATAGGTTTAGGTTTTTGGGTTTCGGGGGTTGGGGGTTCCGTGTTTTGGATTAGTTAGGGTTTTGGGGTTAGGGTTGAGGGTTTGGGGCTTTGAGTCTATGGGCTTCGAATTGGAAAGTTTTGGGTTCAGGGTTTGGCTGAATAGCAGCGTTGCAAGAGGTTTGTATACGGCAAGGCGGTTGCATGCGTATTTTGGTTTAGTTCAGGTTTCATGCTTCGGAAGCTACATATTGTTTGCTACATATATTCAAGTTATGACGAAGAAGTGCAAAATTCTCCCCACGAGGAACCGGCAAGCCTTGGTGCCCTTAACCCTTTGTTCTGGGTTCT